CACACACACACACACACACACACACACACACACACACACACACACACACACACACACACACACACACACACACACACACACACACACACACAGAACGAGCTGGGCAAATTAAAAGCTGCTCTGTCCTGTTAGAGGACGCCAGCCGCAGCGCCTCCTCTGGTGTCTGTCCAGACTGCAGCTAACTGAATTAACCTGAGAATTGATTTCACGCAGTAAGACGTTTGGTTCTATTGACTAAAAGGAGGAATCTCAGTGTTTCTAAGTGTGAACTAACCAGCACTGAGTACTCCACATCGTCTCCCAGCAGCCCCGTGTCGTTCAGCGTGTACTTGGCTTTCTTCAGCCTGGCGTCCACCGGGCCCTTCTCCACCTGGTGCTTCAAGGCCTTGAACAGTTTGTATAAAGGTTCTCCAGCAGTGTCCTAAACCAGGGAACCCAAACATACACCTGCTTCAAACTGCATCTCAAATATAGTAACATATCTAGATTAAGCAGCTCTAATCAGTCAGTATTTCCAGTGAACATGCATTAATCTGCCATCTTTTAGCTGTGAGATACCATATTTCATTGGTGCATCTCTTATTTCTAGAGCTGCAACTATTATTTTGCAAATCAATTAATCTGTTAATATTTTTTTGAATAATTGATTCATTTAATTAATAATTTGATAGTAAAAGGCTCCTCAAGAAAGATTCTTTTATGAAATTAAACCAAGTGAAACTAAAACTTTTCCACTTAAAAAGCAAAATTCCCCCAAAAAATAAAAAAAACATTTCACTGGAATTAATTTTTCAAGTTTGAAGACGTTTCTCTTCCCATCCAGGAAGATTTTTTAAATTCAAAACGTCAGAAATAACGTTGAGTTCCAGTTTATCCAGTAGCCCGACAAAGCCTGGTTTTTTACCCCATTTACACTAGCCTTGAAAAACCGTGCCGAGACCGGTCCGAGCCCAGTAACTGAGATAACTTATGGTGTGTAAATGGAAAGCAAACTGAACCGAACTGAGCTAGACACAACCGGACCGAGCTAGACGCAACCGGACCGAGCTAGACACAACCGGACCGAGCTAGACACAATCGGACAGAGCTAGACGCACCCGGACCGAGCTAGACACAACCGGACAGAGCTAGACACAACCGGACAGAGCTAGACACAACCGGACAGAGCTAGACACAACCGGACAGAGCTAGACACAACCGGATCGAGCTAGACGCACCCGGACCGAGCTAGACACAACCGGACCGAGCTAGACGCACCCGGACCGAGCTAGACACAACCGAACCGAGCTAGACACAATCGGATCGAGCTAGACGCACCCGGACAGAGCTAGACACAACCGGATCGAGCTAGACGCACCCGGACCGAGCTAGACACAACCGGACCGAGCTAGACACAACCAGACCGAGCTAGCTGCAGACCAGTTCCAGAGGTGGGCTCGGCTCGGTTCTCTGATAACAAGAGCGCATGAACAGAACGCATCATCTCCGTCTGGCTGCACATCGCGATTCACACTCCATTCCAGTAGGTGGCGGTAATGCCCCTCCGAAAGTTGCTTGCCAACCAACACAAAACGGAAGAAGAAGAACATCTATAAACAACAATCGAAATCTTCCCCACGCAAAATTTTAAATTATGACACTGAAGTACAGCGATAATAATCAAGCATAACTTTCTGAATGTGACAGGCACCGCCATTTTGATTTGCTTGATTCCCTCCTTCTTCGTCTTCTTCTTCTTGTGTTTTATGGCAGTTGGCAAACAACTGTTGGTGCATTACCGCCACCAACTGCTTGATT